GAGACACTACATACTGATATACACCTGAACATCAGCAGGAGAGGACTCTTTAAAGTAGAGACACTACATACTGATATACACCTGAACATCAGCAGGAGAGGACTCTTTAAAGTAGAGACACTACATACTGATATACACCTGAACATCAGCAGGAGAGGACTCTTTAAAGTAGAGACACTACATACTGATATACACCTGAACATCAGCAGGAGAGGACTCTTTAAAGTAGAGACACTTCATACTGATATACACCTGAACATCAGCAGGAGAAGACTCTTTAAAGTAGAGACACTACATACTGATATACACCTGAACATCAGCAGGAGAGGACTCTTTAAAGTAGAGACACTACATACTGATATACACCTGAACATCAGCAGGAGAGGACTCTTTAAAGTAGAGACACTACATACTGATATACACCTGAACATCAGCAGGAGAGGACTCTTTAAAAAATGTACCTTCTTACTTCAAAACCCTAATGTTCTGTAAAGTTTCTTTAGCAGATTCACTGCATCCCACACAGTCTCAGCAGTGAAGTGGTGTGTAAAATGTCCTGATAGGCAGGCAGGTTCCTTTCAAATCATCACTGTTATTTTTCACCTGCATTACCACGGCAACCTAAATCCCAAGCACATATTGTAAAGCACATAAACCTGCTTTACTGAGCTTTTTTTCTTATTCTTAAGGTGTTGGAGGACTCGAGACAAATCCTGATCTCGGCCAACATGCAGCCTGACGACCCTTTCCCGATGGACGATAAGATCAAAGAAGGTCGGATTCGCTTTTACACCTCGGCTCTTTCCTCATTTGAAATGTCTCCTCCTCTTATATAAGCTACTTTATTTTAGCAGCATCCCCAGGATGTCTTTCATCCTCTTTCAGTGCCAGAGGGTGTCAATAATGTCAGCTTTAACGTCAGTCTGAATGTCAGGAATATCATCTTCCCTTTTCCCCAGGCTTCTCCAAACCCAACACCTATTTGAGTCCTGCCGAAACAAAATTAGACATTTTTATTTGTCCCAATTATTAAGATGTTCTGTCAACAAAAATTCATTATCAAAATTGTCCTCCTCTGTTTAATTAAGTCCAATTAACCTGCACATTTTTTGTTATTTTGGACCATGCTCCAAAAACGTATATAGAATCTAAATCAGGTTAATCACCAAGTAATGTTTAAACAGTATAATGAAATTGGTGTATAATGGTGCATATATTAACACAGTAAGAGAAGTTAGGTTGCAAAAAAGAAAGAAAGAAAATATAGGACTATTATAGAAATATTTGAAAAAAATGATTACAAGAAATGTACAAAAAAAATGTAAGTACAAGAAAACAACAAGTTAAATTAATTACAATACAGTATGTGCAGTATATCAGAATTTAAATGTAATGTTTGTGTCTCTTCCCTCTCTCTCTACCTCTCTGCAGCGTACTCCCACGTGGTCGAGAACACGGCGTTTTTTGGCGACGTGGCGCTGCGTTTCCCCCGGATCGTCCACCATTACTACGACCGGAACGAGGACTGGGACGGGATGCTGCGCTGGGGCCTGAACTTCTGCAACCAGTCGGGGGTCTTCACAGGAGGGGCCCACCAACATGTCCTCACACTGGTAAGGAGGGCCTATCCTGTCCCTTTTCTACCTAATATTACCTGCTGATGAGTGTTGTCACAGTCCGTTGGTTTAAGGGTGTAAACAAAGGATTCTGAGCTTTGATTTCAATACATTTTCTTCACAACTGGTTAAAAATACAAGCTCAATCCTTGGGTATAATGGAGTCATGTGAAATGGGACACCTTGATAAACTAAGAATCTTTAGAATAAGGGCCTGGACACTAGACAGAAAGTGTTTACAGTATATATTAATAACACATCTAGAAATGGAGAGATAGAATGTATGATACAGAAACATTTACAAGCTAATAAACACCTAATACTAACCAAATACCCTAAAACTAGACTAGCCGTTAATACTAAATGGTCCCAAAACATTATTTTCATCGATCTAAAAATTGGTTGAAATAGGTTAGACATAATAAACACAGGAGTCTGAAAAAGGGGAAATAATGGTACAAATGAAATGCCTTAAGTAGAGGAACTTGTTTAGAAGTCCCCAGCCATTTAGTGAAGTCAGGACTTGACATTTGTATTCAATAACGGCTGCCTTTTCTGTTTTTAAAAGAATGAATGCCAACTATAAAAATCCAGCTACGGAATTTTAAAGGAAGAAAATGTTTTCTAAGATCACTATTCTGCAGAACTAAACAGAAAGACTTGTTCCTTTTGGTAAGGCTGCTGAACTCTTAAATCAGAGCACATTTAAGGGCCTTGAAAATACGAAAAAAATCGCACAATACTTTTGTCTTTTTTTGTGGTTTTCTGTCCATTTTTTAAAATCAATGCCAAAATATTTGCTTTGTTATTTGGAAGTCTAGACGCAGAATTCATTGTAAGTGCACGATGAATTGAATCCCTTTCTCTGCAGGAGACCTAGCAAGGACATGGAAGAAATAACAAAACAGTGCACAGTGTGGTAAATTGCCTGGTGCAGAGACATGACAGAACCATACTTGTTCAGGTTATACAGTATCCATGGAGATTTCACTGCAATCTGCTGTCATACATGCAGCACAAGGCACCTTATTGTTTGCTGAAAAGACGCTGATAAAGGTGCCATTTGTCATCGGATTTGTCCATGATGAGTTGAAATGTAAAAGCAGATCAAATGGTGTATCTGTTTGATGTTAAGGGTTAATGAACTAAACTCCTGCAGCATCAATCTGTGACTTTAGCAACGTGCCAAGGGGATTATATTGTGGATTAATTCTGAGTGGTGCAGCAGCAGCTAGCTTCTCCTCAGCAACTCCTCTCTTAGTTTCTCAGCCCGCTATTTGTCATATAGCCATAGGGTCGAATGCTAATATGATAAAAATAATATACGGAAGAACTGTTGCTGCTTGCCTTATACTGCTTTTTGTCTGCAGAAAAAGCGTATTTCTATTGAATAAATGACAATGTGCCCCCGCCCCTCCTCTCCTCTTCTCCCCTTCTCCCCTGTCACCTGTCTATTCTGCTAATCTGTCAGATGTCACAGGAGCTGGGAATTACAGAGAAATCCCCAGACTTTATAAACCCGTATCGCACAGAGAGAGACGACGTGAGTAAAATGCAAACACACACACACACACACACACACACACACACACACACACACACACACACACACACACACACACACACACACACACATCCACCCACCCTCTTCGAATGACCTTTAATGCCCTTTACTTTCTAGCAACCAGTAACAATTGCAACACAGAGACAAATCATTGCTATATCATACTGTTTCATTATCTCTAGTGGTGAAATGTAAGGAAGTAAATGTATTACGTAAGTGGATGACCAAAAACAGAGCCGGCCAGCTAACCAACCAGAGCAGACTGGGCTATGGTTTCAGACAGAGGGTGAAAAGAGGTGCTGCAGCACAGGCAGTATGAGAAGAATAAAGAGCTTTTTGAACATTAAAGCATGGAGAC